CCGCTGCAGGCGCGCGCGCTACGCAACGGCGGCCCCGCGCCGCTTGAGTACCGGCTGGACTTGGCCCCGCTGGCGGAGCTGACTAAGAGCAACTACGGTTTTGAGGTGCTGCGGTTCATGGGCGGCGCGCCGCTGGCAGGTGGGGGGAGTTTGGTGGTATGACAGTGATCAGGTCTTTGGCGTTACCCTCGGCATTGATTTTGTGACGTCAACACTCATATTCCGGAGGATGCAGCAAAGGAGGTTGGATCTGCCCTGCAGCAGAAGCAAAGGTCTGATTGGGGCTGGTTTGGGCGATTCATGCGTTCTACTAGCAAGCTGTTTCCTGCCCTGTATGACGGCCCACACGCGAGCGCGCGGTGGCGCTGCTGTGTGGACTTGTGCGCGCAGGCGTCGTCCCGCCCGGCGGCGCGGCGGTGTTTCACTGGGCCTTCCAGCCGCTGGAGGCCAAGGGCTACTCGGTCGCGCTGCCGCTGGCCCTCGGAGCCAGCGCAAGCGACGGCTCTGGCGCCGGCGGGAGCCCCATGGAGATGGTCGTTTCGGGGCGGGGGTACCACCCCCTACAGGAGACGCCGGAAGAGAATGAGTCAGAGGGCGAGGCGGCCAGGTGCGCGGGAGGAGTGCGCACTCGTGTGTCGTGAGCGGGCTGCATGGGTATGTGCGTGGCAGGCACCGGGCGTGGGCATGTGTGTTGAATCGGTGCCGTGTGCATGGGTGCAGCTAGCGTGCGTGCATGGTGGTCGAGTCACTCAAAACGGCTGCGCTTCCCTGATGGGTCACTGATTTGGATCCTTCCCAGAAGCTGCCGCTTGCTCCCAGTGTGCGCCGCGAACGCACATCTGGCGGCACGTTGTGAATTGCAGACAGCCATCATTGTTGCGGCAGGCAACCCCCTCGCTCTATCCTGCTGGCCTCACAACCGCCTGTCTGTCACAACGCCACCTTCCTTGCCCTACCCCCCGCCCAGCAACTGGCGCCGCTGGCTGGGGTTCAGCCCGGGCCCCGCGCTGCGCCCCGCCTGGCGCCCCTTGCTGATCAGCCCTGAGGTGCTGTCCCTCGGCCCCTGCCTCCAGGGGGGCGCCTCGCGGCGCCTCCTGAAGCTCGAAAACACGTGCGGGCGGCCGCTCGCCTTCCGGTTTGACCTAGGGGCGTTCGACGCCGCACTTGGCTGCGGTAGCGTTGGCGGCGGCGGGGAAGGCGGCCTGACGATCCGGCCCTCAGAGGGCGTTGTGCCGGCCGGCGGCGCGCTGGTGTGCCAGGCCGTTTTTGAGGCTGGGGTGCAGGTGCGCCTTTTCGAGGCCGAGGTGACGTGTGCCGCATGGCCGGTGGACGGCGAAGAGGGGGCGGTCGTGGCCGCGGCGCATGGCGGTGGCGAGGAGGTGGGGCTTCATCATGGCGTGTGTCCGCGAGAGGGAGACCCTGTTGGGCCGCGGCAGCAGCGGCAGCAGCAGCAGCAGCAGCAGCAGCAGCAGCAGCAGCAGCAGCAGCAGGAGGAGGAGGGTTATGAGGGGAGCTGCGGGGCAGATGGGGACGAGGAGGAGATCATCGCTCAGCACCCTGAGAGGTGGGGGCGCTGCCAGCCCAGCTGCTGGGCCCTCCGCGGCTACCTGTACTGCCCGACAGTGCCTGTCCTGTCAGCCGCGTGGATGCATGAGGTCCCAGCCCTGCCTGGGCCGCCGCCGCCGCGTAGCTGCGCGCGTGCTTGACATCAGCTTAGCACACAGCTGGCAGAACCTGCGACGCCTTACCGCGCCGCTGCACCCCGCCCGATAGCAGGTTGCCCACACGGCCCCGCGGCACGCTCGACGCACGAGTGAGGCACGCGCGCCTGCCGCTGCACGAGTCCATGACGGCCGCGGCCCTGGGCAAGTCGGACCTGCTGCGGCGGCGCTTCGACGATTCGCGGCGCCTGACAGCGCCCGCGCCGCGCGGCCAGACGCAGGCCGGCGGCGGCGGCGCGGCGGCGGCGGCGGCGGCGCCGCGGCGGTGCGAGGTGGTGGTGACGGTGTGCGGCGCCGTGCTCAGCAGGGCGCACGCGAAGGCGGGCAGCTACGTCGCCCGCGAGGAGCGCGAGGAGGCGGCCAGGCTGTGTGCAGGTGAGCCTGGGGGCTTGCATGTGAGCATCTCACCGGCCTAGCGTACGGGCGGGTCGCTCGGTTTGTCACCGGGTGTGTGTCGGCTTCTCTTGGGTGAGCATGCACCCGCTGCCGCCGTCGGTCGAGCCGTCTGGCCGCTGCGGCTGCCCAAGACAACCTGGCACGCCTCAAGCCACCCTCTTGTCGCATGCAAAGTCTTTGTACCCACGTGTCCGCCGCTACCGCACACCGCAGAGCGCGACGCGTCCCCCTCGCGCGCCCGGGACGCGTCCCCCCCGCCCGCGGCCCACCTGCGGCCGGCCGCGGCCCGGCAGCAGGCGCAAACCCGCCCTGCATCAGACGGCAGCCCCTCCGGCCCGCCGGCAGACCCCGGCGTGGACTGCGCCGGCGCTTCCTCGGGGTCAGGTACCCCTGCAGAGGACGCGGGCGCCGCGGCCGTGCCTGCGGCCGCCGTGGACGCCGCCGCGCTCGCGGCTGCGGGGGCGGTGCTGGATGACTTGGTTGCGGAGGTCTGGGCGGACGCTGACGTGGCGGCCGCTCTCGCGGCGCCGGCCGCGGCGCCACTGCTTGTGTACCGCGGCGGGGGCGTGTTGGAGGAGCTGGCGCAGAGCACCGGCGTTACTGGCGACGACGCGGCCGGCAGCCGCCAGGGGGAGCCTCGGGAGGCGGCCGGCGGGGTGGGGACGGG